CGGAGGGGGTGGGGTTTGAACACACCTTAGCGGGCGGGGCTGGTTGGGGCCGGCGAGGTACGGGCTGTTTTGCGGGGTCTCCCTCGGGAGTGCTTACCGCAATTAGGCTGTCACTACCTGAGTGTTGAATGGAAAGCTTTGAGAATTTTATTTTCTTGGCTTTTTTGGCTGGACATACGACTAAGTGGCCCACACTCCCTATGTTTTATAATGTATTTCAATATTGAGCACTTCAAGTTATGTGAAGATTCACTGTAGAAATGAAATAGAACTGGGGTAAAATCGAGTACAGAAGGTGTTTTTTTTTTCTTCCCCCTCTTTCTTTCCTCCTAGGGAACTGCAGAGTTGCAAAGACCAGTAAAATTCATTTTCCCCTGGAGGTGAAAGCATCCTCAGTCTTCATTTCTAGAAACCAGAAACAAACAACTGTTGCTAAATAACATGGCTTTAGAATGGCTAGGTTGTCTGTCCGAACATGAAAACAGTCAATAATGCCATTTAGTACAAGGAGGTGCTTGCAATGAATTAGAAGGTGAAGCTGATTCTTCTAGTGGAGAGCGCTCAGAGTAAGCGTTCCTAACAAGTTCATCCCACATAGCGCTACTCCATGACACGCTTCTCATCCCCAGTGTCAGGAAGGTGCCAAGGCAGTAATAAGTAAGCATATTAGGTTTTCTTTGTTGACCAAGATGATCCTCAAAATTTCCTGTTGTGTTCAAGTCATGCCCTACTTGTTCTGAAGTAACATTTTGGCTTCTGTAACACTGAAAACCTAAAATAGGTATGAGAAACAAGTATTTTTGCATGGCCACGACCTGTGATCTGCAGTGACAGTGGCATAGTTCTCATTTATCTTAAAACTATTTCCATGAGAAAAAACAAAGTTTAAAAAGCTGTGTATGGAATATAAAATATTCAATTTACTATCTTATTTTTGAAGCAGTCTACTATTCCTTTTGGTTTGTGGATAATTTACATACTTTTTAAGGTATCCTTTTAAGACACATGTTTTCTACATATTAATCTGAAAATACTTCTCTCTTCATCTTGATACTTACACTTTCCTATCAAAGTTTTAGACTTTTCTTTATAATGCGTTTCAGAACAATTTGAAGGAGAAACTTTTTCATCCCTCAAAAGATTTGTGATGAATTTCAGGGAAGATGCTATGAAATTATTTTCTGCATCAGCAACTGAGCATGCATACAGAATACAATTGCTTATAAACTGGTTTTATACTAAGTTCAGTACTCACCTCTCAGTGTTTTCACCACAAGTTGTAGTGGAATGCAATATAAAATTATGTAAGCATACAAAATGAACATTTTCAGAAATTCACTGGAGCAATTGATAAAGAATAACTGACAGGCCCACCTTCCAGCTGCATTTGCTTTTTTCCTTATCAGTATCCACAAATGATAGCTTCTAGGAACGTGTTGCTTCCAGAGACATTCTTAAGAGTTCCCATGGGAAAGACCAATGCTTATTCACTCTGACGCCAATTCACCTTTTTCAGAAACACACTTGAATATGAGATGTTCTGTAGCCTATTTGTGAATAGTAACTGGCAAGAATAAACTGGTTCTCATAACCCAAGTTGGGGAATGTCATGTATCTAGTACTATTTTCCATCCTCATTTTCTCTTTGTAAACTCATGAGTGCTCAGTTCTCATTCCTGTAAATGCTCTGTCTCCTGTGACACACTTAGGACAGCTCTGGTGCTTGATGGTTGAGTACATTACTGCATGGAGCTGCTACATGAACTCATGAAGTTACTCTGGGCAGTACTATTGATACAAGCAGAATCATCATGTTCAGCGGCTAACATGCATTGAATTAGAAATTCCTAGTTGATGACTAACAAGCAAGTCACAAGGATTTGCTTATGTGGAAGAACAGTATAGCTGGCTGTAAAGGTTTTCAGTATCCTCTCATTCTTTGGTTTTAGAAGCGTACCTTTTTTCTATTAATGTCAGATAATGAAGACGAAAGGAACATACAATAAAAAATGTAATCTTTATTATGTCAGCGCATTAATAATGTTCTTTAGCATCAGTTAGGGTAATAGCATTTTCCTGCATGCAGTTCGCTAATACAGTATTAGTCAATAATTTTAATAAAAGTAGTCTATATTTAATTTTCCTGTGTAAGAAACATAAAATGTCCTGATGAGTTGGATTATACAATTTTGCTACCTTCTCTTTGTGAAAAAATACTGTGGACCCAAGATAACTTTTAGAACTGTTCTAGTGCAGCATGAATCAAAAAAAATCTGTGAGTTAATATGAGAAAAGATTAAGGATTCTGTGAAAGAAAGGTTGTGTCTGAAAACTTATGATGCAGGCACTGCTGAGACATTCAATTTGAACTTTACATCATTTCCCAACTGCAAAAAAACTTACATTTTTAGAAGCAAATTATTAACTTTTTTTCACAGAAAGTATTGACATGTTTGCAAATATTGTAAAATATAAGAACCTACAGTTGTCAATTCTCTTAGTTGTATGTTGTTCTCTGGAGTTCTGTGAAAAAGTGCTATGGACAGAAAGTAACAAAAATGGTGTGACATCAACCTGAAGATAAAATTCAGTTCTTGTTTTATGTACATAATGCTGAAAAATAAAATAAAATGATTTTTACAGTATTTATATTTGCTTATAAAATCCTAACATTATTTTCAACAGGTTTAGTACTTTTCAACACATCTGTACAGTTTGAATATACACTATATGCTTTTCACTGAAAATTCAAAAATGTAAAACAAATAAGCTCCTAAATAGCTGCAAAATATTGCTTAATGGTATGGAAGAATGAGGTCTTGTTGAGTAGTTTATTTCATTTAGCTCTGATGTATGGCTTCCCGTATTTAAGAATCCTGGACAGTCAAAGGAATAGCAGCATAGGCAATATAAACATGCACTGATAGCATCCAAACTATCTATAATGGTAGATAATATGTAATTTTACCTGTTGAATGCTTGCACATTACACTTATTGTGGTACATATTTGATGCAATAAATGTGCTAAGGTCATTATCAGTTTGCTCAAACATGCACCACAGGTTAAAAATTACTATTTACATAACAGAGGGCTTTTCATTAACATGTACAACAACATCAACCTTACTGAGAGCTGAAGATGGCTAAACAATACTGCAGGATAAAGCAGAGCAACTTTATAAAGGGCTCCTTTTGATCAATTTGGAGGGCTGAGGCAGATTCATTCAGTATTTGTATGCAGAAAGGCATTTGACAAAGACAAAGTCCATGACTCCAGGCCTAGAAAGAAGTTTGCACTTTCTGAAACTTAATGGTCTGTGCAAAAAATAATTCGTCTCTACTGTTCTCATGAGTTATAGGGGACTTTAAAGGCATACCAAGACTTGTTTGGACATGATACAACATGAATACATTAATTAAGCACCTCAAAATCTGTTATTCCTTTCCAGAAACACTGCGCTTAAAAAATCTGTTTTTCTTTGTGACTTAATGTTATTTTCATGCATGATCTATAAGTGCAGCATGCCTTCATGCAAATAATTTCTGTGTGTACATTAGTCATATAATAGAACACCTGGCCCCTGTACCTGTAAAGGTGTACTTAATCCCCTTCCCCAACAGAAGCCCCATTTACAAAAATAGTCACATATAATAAACAACATATGACTAAAAATAAGAAGAATCCACCAACACAGATTTTGTAAAAATATGACGTATGTGGCAGTTGAAATGCAAACAGTGGATACAGGTACCGTATTGTTTTATGCTAAACACACAAATACTTGGTTTGCACCCCTTTAACTGGTCCCTACAGTCTGATTAGCCATTTTTTCTCTCCTCTTCAGCAGTGTCAGCTGGTAGTGAGAACAGTAACCTCCTGTCAAGGTTGTTTCCCTATAGCACAGTCACAGTCACTGACGAGGGGTCACTGTCTTTTAATAGGCACTGACCTTTAATGTACAGTATATTTGTAAAAATTGTCAGTTTGGCATAGACCTCCAGCTGGAGTCCTGTTGACACAAACACATGATCCTTACAGGCTAAGAAGTAATTTGCACATAGATGATTTTGCTTGCTATTTGCTTTTATTTCTGAACATCTTTATCTTCCTTTTCATGCTTTTCTTTGACTGGCCTTGTTACACGATCATAAGAAGGTGGACAAACTGCTGTTGATGCGGTTATATCAGTTTTCTCTGTAAATGAGTTTTCATTTAACTTGTCAATAAGGATTTCATCTTTCATACCCTGACCAGCGCCTCCTTCAGTTTTGTTTTTGTTATAGATAAAGGAAGCTTGCTTTACTGTTCGTTTTAAAAGGTGACGTCTATAAGCCCGTTGAATAATGACAGCAGATACCTCCTCCTGTTTTCTTTTTAATGTGGTTGTAATTGGTTCGTAGGAAGCTTTTGAAGGATTGGATGCCATAAACCGATCTTCCATCTGTATTCTGAGGGCATCCATCTCCCCACTTTCCCCCAAAACACGCTTTGTGAAAGCAAACAAGATGTCAAGGCAGTGAATTCTGTCACCACTTACCATGGGCAGATCCATTGCAATAAGCTGGACTTTGTTCGGTTTGGGTAGATGAAGAGGAGGCTCAAGTGCTGCTGCAAAATCAGATAATTTCTCAAATTCCATGAATTGTGTTGCATCGGGATCAAACTTCTCCCAGACTTCATAGAACATCTCAAAGTCATCCTCACTCAAGGGTTCAGCACTTTCTTCAGTAGCAACACCAAAGTTCTCCAAAATCACAGCAATGTACATGTTCACCACCACCAGAAATGATATGATAATGTAGCTGACAAAGAAGAAAATCCCAACGGAAGGGTTGCCACAGTCACCTTTCACAGAGCTCCCAGGATGAGCTTTGTTAGGGTCACAGTCTGGCTCCCCACTGTTAAGAATTGGGGCTAGCAAACCATCCCAGCCAGCAGACGTTGTAATTTGAAATAGGCAGATCATGCTGTTGCCAAACGTTTCAAAGTTGAACATGTCATCGATACCAGCTTCCCTCTTAACATAGGCAAAGTTGGACATGCCAAATATCGCATAGATAAACATGACCAGGAATAGCAGCAGGCCAATGTTGAACAAAGCGGGAAGAGACATCATCAAAGCAAAAAGCAGGGTGCGGATTCCCTTAGCGCCTTTAATGAGACGCAGGATTCGACCGATTCTGGCAAGTCGGATGACTCTGAACAGTGTGGGGGATACAAAATATTTCTCAATCATCTCAGCTAAAAACATACCTAAAACAGAAAAGAATAAAACAAAGATACATTACCATTCAATCTCTATATCACAGTAGAAATTTAGAAAAATAGTTCAAAATTGGTGGTTCTATGTAGCAATTAAAGATACTCTGTAGATTCCACTTGCATAATGTCTGTTATACCAGTTATGCTTAATATTTACAAGTGCAATATATATTGAATGATTATAATGGTTTTTATGTTTGGGTTCGGTAAATTATTAAATAAGTTGCATAACTTAGTTGTAAACCTTGTGATGGCAAAGGCAACCATATAGCTCTATTGGAGTAAAAGTTCACCTTTTACTCTCTTTTTAGTTTAATAAACAAGACTTACCTACTATTGAGAGAATGACAACTACAAAATCAAAAATGTTCCAGCCTATAGTGAAATAGTAATGGCGAAGTGAAATTAATTTCAGGACACATTCTCCAGTGAAAAGGACAATGAACACCAGATTTATCCAGTATAAAATATTTTCCATTTCTTTACTCTGGTCATCAGTTTCTACCATCATGGTAACCATGTTAAGGCAAATAAGGATCATGATGCTGATGTCAAATACTTGCTGTGTCACAAAATCAAAGACCATGCCTTGGAATTTGTTCTGAGGAAAAAGAAAAAAAGAAACATCCAATACAAACTGTAATTATTTTTCTTTTGCTGTTACAAGAAATTAGAAACATACATGCAATAAGACCTATGAGACTTCAATAAAAACGTAACTAGTGATCTTAAGCAGAGTAGTCAAATTAAAGTGAATAAACAGCTTAGTTCAGCCTCCTTTGTTTGCATATTCGTACATAAAATGGCTGCAAGGGAAAAATATTTTTTTTTACTGTGTTTTTATTTTCCATTTTTGCTGACTGACACACTAATTAATGATAATTTTCTCATGGCCATTTTTCTGCTCTCTATGTATCAGTAGAAACTGAGCTGTTTGTAAATATCTATTGGTTTAATGTGTATAAATAATTTTACCCCTGGTCTTGGTATAGGTTTTTGTGGTTTTTTGGATCCCAGCTTTTTCATTGCATTGTAGTACTTCTTCTGCTCTTCTGTCATAAATATGTCTTGACCTCCAAAGTAAAAACATGAAATCAAAACTGGTTATAATCACATTTATATACAATGTTGAAAAAAGTCTTAAAGAGAAATGTGGTTTATTTATTTCTTTCATGAATATCAAGAAGACTGAATTGGGAAAAATATCTTAGCTATCAAATCCAGCTGTCTGCATCTAAGCATTTAGTCCAGAAGTTGTTTGGACATCCAGTACTGCATCTCACAAAAACTAGTAATGCAACTTTTTCTATATTTACTTTCCTTGAACTCCAAGAAATCCTTTTCAGTACCTCTTTTCTATTATAGAATGAGATAACAGTTAAGAGCACCTGAGATAAGCTCAAATAGTCTGGGCTGCTCAGTACTGTCACTTCTGAACTGCAATTTTAGTGAAATAAAGGAAGCAAATGAAGTCAGGTTTTGAGTACATGAATGTGTTAGTGCTTTAGGTAGCTCTAGTTTAGCAATAGCAACATTGGCATTGAGACTCAAAGTCTTCAAGGTTTTTGAGAAGACGAGTATCAGACTTTGGAGACTGAGCTGAAGATTGAAGCAGTCTTGATACTATTAACAGCAAAATGCTCTCTTTTAAGTCTTTTATCTTGTTTAGCTTCCATGTTCAGTGAAGTTCTGATTAGCAAGAGCCAGAACTGGCCTTTGGCGTCTGACAGTGGAGATAAAGAGAATTATAGGTCTTTCATGGCAACCTAACCAAAATCCACTGCCCATAGTAACTTCCTCATAGAGACTGAAAGAAAACCCATCAGACTCCACGTACCTCTTGAAGTAAATTTTTCCTGGATAAAGGATACTTGCAGACATCTAATTCCAGGAATGTCTATGAACACATAGGACTGGATGCAGCCCTCTTGTGGATGAGTGTTTGGGAAGCTTGAAGATGTGGGAATGCATGCACTGTATACGCTCCCTAACCATACACCTCTAGGCCTCTAGCAGGTACAGCTTCCAAAAATGTTACTTAGCATCTCTCATTAGTAACATCAACCCAAAGAAAGTGATGAAGTCCAGTAGGGTAAAATTAAACTAGTAATTCATAGCTGCTTTTGCCCTTTCATTTTCATTACCTTATCCATTTACAGAAAATAATTTAAAAGATGAGCATCTGCTACTCAGATCATCTATACCAATGAGATTATCTACATCTGCACTAAGAAGCAATAAAAAAAGGCCCTGAGATAGTTACAAACCAGTCCTGTTCTGTATAGTTTCAGGCTATTCAGTGCCACAAAACAGAACTGGAATACTTGGGATCATTAAAACAGCATCTGTAGTAGTGTGATGAAATAATGCTTTAGTTTTCATAACCAGGTAGCTATTTTTTTTGTGCTGATAGAATCACTACAAATCAAGAAGAAAAAAAATCAAGAAATTATGAGTGCTTTAATGTAGAGTCCTAAATCAAGGGGTTGATCATGTAAGGAGATTTCGTGAAGTTTAGGCATGGAAAAGCAGATGACTTGAGGAAGACTAAACTGGACATTGAAAACAGAAGGGTCTGTCCCATTCACTACAATGTAAAATCTTATAACGTTACTGCATACAACATCTTGGTAAGATTTTATATCCTAATACACTGCAGCTTTTTCAATTTTGAACAAACGTTGGGTATACATTCCATATATCATGCACCTGCAAAAAGGCAATATTTTAGAATGTCTTTAGAAGTGAAATGAAACAATACTTATCTTCTTTTTTTGCTGATTGAAGTTATCGATAATGACACCAATGAACAGGTTCAAGGTGAAAAAAGACCCAAAAATGATAAAGATGACAAAATACAAATACATGTACAGGTTGTCTTCATATTTGGGTTGCTGTAATATCTAAGAAAAAAAATGTGAAATATCATTTCCAAGTTTTCATGTGAAAATTGCAGCTGAACAAGTGGCAACCTTGGGCAAGATGTCCTTGATATTTTGTGTTTGGACAATACTGCTATCACTTAAATCAATGTATTTTGTCCATTCCATCTATTACTGATAGCATCTGGCAGTTTGGATTCAGTTTTCCAGAATTTGTTACAGCAGAATCTCATATTAGTTAATTTAATTTTGTTTCAATCTATTGTATGGATATTAATTGCTTTTGGAAGATATATAAATACACACTTGTTGATAAACAGACCTCAAGAAAAAAAGATAATTTAAAATATTTGCAATACTTACATCTCTTGAGTCAATAGCTGCGTACATAATATCCATCCAGCCTTTAAATGTAGCCTGTAAACAGTACACACCTGTTTAAGCTTAGAGCTTGAAGACAATTCATATAATTATTTCCAGCAACTGAGTACAGTACCAGGAATGATTATCATAACATGAGATTTCTAGATAATTCTGTCTCTTGGCTTTCTTCACAGCTGCTCATTGGATACATTGCTGTGTATCCCCCTACCTGAACATTTTAAGCAGTGAGCATAATTAACTTATTTCTCATTAATTATCACAAATGATAGAATGCAGTATCATTTTAGTGGACTAAATGTTCATCACGTCAACTGCAAATGCTATGTACAGCCTTATATAACCCAGTTGCTACCAATGAAGACTGATGTGTAGTCCCTCCCTCTGAAATCAGTCAGAAAGGTGGCAACCAAAGGGAACAACAAATTTGATCAGCTCAGAAAAGGTATTTTGCTATCAATCAGAATTTTGATTTTTCTCTACTTTGAAAGACTTTACCTGATTTAGTAATTCTATTTTCACTTTAAATGTATTGTGTTTTACAGAGACTAGATCCCTCAGATATGTTCTGAGATAAACTGGTAAGAAGAAGATGTGTTTTATGTGCATTGAAGACTTAATATGACTCATAGGTGGCAGCATTTAATGAACTTTTATAGCTATTTCCTCGGCCCAATATCTGTAATTTTTTATATTTCACAGTGAGGTGTAGATTGCTTCATCTGAGAGTTCAAAACAGAAAGTAATTTTGTCCTCTACCAATTAGTTGTCTTTTGACTAGGCAAAATCTCCAAGTAGGAATCACTCAGTTTTTAATGCAGTGGTATCCAGAATAAAACAAAGAAGTGAGATCGTTCTTTGTCATTTAATCCCTATTATAATTTTGCTAAACAAGGCTGCAGATCATTCATTCCTTCGTATTCCTTGCCATAGAGACCAGTTGCAGAAACAAGTAGGGAATGGAACACTCTTCATCCATGGTTATTGCTGTATCTCTGTCATCTTGAGGTTTCGTTTCTAGTGGAGGTTTCAAAAAGGCTTTGCTTATGCAGCGTACAAGGCAGCTGGCATCATCCTGAAGTGAACTTAAAATGAGAAGGAATTATTTTCCTAAAGGAAAAGAGATCTTTTACATTTTTGAAACAGTGGAATACTAAAAAGAGCATGATTATCCTGAGATGCAAATCCAGTGTGCAACAACTTTCACATCTTGGGGCCAAGACAGAAAAAATGAACTTAAGGCAACTTACAGTACGATGGTGAAATCAACGTGTAGTATCAGAGGAACAATAAATCAACAATAAATCTGAAACAAGTAGAAGTCTCAGCTGAAGAATTTAAAGTCCTTGTGGAACATTTGGACTGCAAGGGATTAGGAGCGGTAAGATCAGCTTTATTTATGTAATTCTTAATGTATGCTTAACTAGTTCTCAAAGACTGTTAGTGATGGACACTCCACAACCTCATAAAATATTTATTCTTGCACTTGTCTTTATTGTTTCCCAACATCTAAATCCTTCTGTTGCCATTTAAGACTGTCTGTTGTCATTACACATCTGGAGAGCAGAGTACTAATCATCCTTTGTGCAGCACCTTTTACTTATTTGCGAACAGATTGTTGCTGCCTTTCTTCTTTAGGCTGTGATCACTGTTCTTTCAATCTTTCCATGTTGATCTTGTTTTCCAGAGCTCTGATCATTCTCATTATTTTCCTCTGACCTCTCTTCCACTAGTTCATCTCTTGAAATGGTAATCAAAACTGGTCTCAGCTGAGGTCTTACAAGGTCTAAATAGGGCAGGATGATTACTTGACATCTTAGAGGCACTACTTTTGTATATGTCTTCGTACATTATTTGCATTTTCTGGAATGTCATAACTTAGGTTGAAATCAGCACTTCAACCCGAAACACTAAATGCAAATAACGGGCATACTTTTACATCAGAAAGATGACACAAATGGTGGAGTGGCTCTTCTGCAAAGTGTATGCTGTTGCCTCAAATTCAGATACATGATGATTCTTGCATATCATCATCCAGGCAAAGAGAAATTATTGGTTTTTGTAAATTTATTGATATAGCCTAGACTAACGAAAGCGCATAGGAAAAAAAATAGACTAATTTTAAAATATTAAGCTTCACCATCATCAGTAAAGTACTCAATTATAAACACACAGGACATTTCATCTAGCACTGGGAAAAAGAGCTGAAGAACTGAGCTGTTGTATGCTTATTACTGTTATTAAAAAAGCAACTTGAAAAGAGTGTGGGAGTGAAAAAATATAAATATAACATATTACTATCTTGCAGTTCAAAATATCTAAAGTAAAATACTCATTTTCCACAAGTTTCACAAAACCATAAGATATTACCATTATTGAAGAAATTAAGAAAAAAACAATCCCCAAACCTAATTAAAATGAAGTAATTTTAATAATAAAATATGCTCCCTCATCATATTATTTGTTTTATTCCAAATCCCTCCTGAAAATCAGTAGGAATTGGTGAATATAATCATTGTTATGCAAAACCATTTACACTAGTTGAGAATGTAGCTGTGGGAAAATGGATTCTTAATTCCCAAAGCAAAAGTGT